AACCCAAACCATTCTGTGATAAATCCATAATGAAAGAAGATACTAAAAAAGGCATGGTAGGTGTTTGGTTTTTTTTTTTCCTATCATCAGTGCTATGCACTCTTCCTTGTAAGAAAAATTTAGCAACCTCGTCATGCAGTGAGTACACCAAACAAGAAAAAAAAATGGGCAAACAGATTATTCCTCGTAAGTCAATTACATATCTCTTGGGCTGTCAAATAAGAGCATTCTAATCAGCTGTCAAACCTGGACCCAGTTCAGGAAATTGCTTCCGTAAGGTATAGGACCTGAGACACATTGCTTCCCAGAGTCCTCGTTGTTTACAGACTGTCAGCACAGTAAATTGCTGGTCTGATTCTCTCACCTTATCTTCTAGATATTCCAGCACTTTTCTGCCAATCCTACCTGATTTTTCAGGCATATAGCTGTAGAGCAGTGGCTGAGTGCAGAATGCCTTTGCATCCTCAGAAGAGAGGACAGGGTATTACAAACTGTACGAGTCAAAGGCTCGAGAACCTGATTTGTGCTGCATCCTTTTGAAAAGAAGAGAAAAAAATACTTTCTGCTTCTGCATCAGTCGGCTTTTGAAAATTAGTGAACCTGTTGTTAGCCACTCATGCTGCTGGGTGACCTGTTTTTATTGTACGCTGAGGTGCAATAAAGTAAGAAAAGGCGATGCTGTGAAGGAAAACTCACAGGCCTTATTTGAATGCATAACCAAGTTTGTTTACTTTGAGAGAACAATAATAATGTAATGAATGTCTCGCGGAGAGTTAAGTACATCCTTGTACAGCTGTGATTTATGTGCTTGTCTCTGGATGTTAACTCAGCCATTGTTAACATAACCTCCGTCATTTCGATGTTCACGCTGCCTGTGGGCACACGCTAGCGCAGCAATGTGAAAGAAATCTGACAGAAAGCTGGTAGCAGTCCCTGGTGCAGGAAACCTCTTTCAGGGATGTAGCGAGCCGTAGATCATGTTAAGGCAAGCAGATCTGTGTAACTGAAGGAACTGTTTTAGGAGAGAGAAGGCACCCATTGATTCCCGTGGGTTATTAACCTCTTGAGGGCCACATGCAGTGCCCAGGTCTGATGGTGTGTATACCTGATGTGGCTATCAAATTACCCAAGGAAAAATGCAATTACTTTGGCTGCCAGCTGAAACATGTCAGGAGATAGGCTGTGAGCTCAGGCCGCCTGTGTTTTTGAAGGTAGAAGTTAAGCTGTGTGAGGAGTGCTTACACTTCTGTAAATGCATATGTAATTCATACAATATCTGTGTGTGTGTGTAATTCATACAATAACTTTGTTTGCGATACAAATAAGGGATTTTCCAGCCACTGTGCTAGGCAGTAACTCCACAGGATATGAGAATATCATCTTTTAAGACATGCAGATTTTGCTTTTTTTCAAGTAAACAAAGCATTCAGAAGTTGCCACAGTGATTAAAGATAAACACAGTTATCAGGGGAAGTTTTATGGGTATAAACAAAAGACATCATTGTTCATCTTTCACGTTCATTTCAAAATTACATCTAATTACTAAATCCTTCCCATGTCAGCCTTGCAGTTTGTGTTCTTTAACTAGATAATACAGCATATGTTTTAGTACCCATAGTTCCACAACTGAAGCTCAGTGATACCTGCAACGATATTTTTGATTTTTTTACTTGCAATTCAATTTAACCCAATTAGCTATCGATAACTCTTCAAGTTTCAAAGTAATTATATGACTTAGATCAGGTGTCATCATCAAAATTTTATATTTATGATTTAAATTGAAATTTCCAGTTGTCAGTAAAGAAGTAGTATGTTCAGCATATTGCTGTAAGTCATTCACGTAAACCCTTAATTTCATTTTAAAGCTGTATCTTGATTTTGTGTCATCTGGTGGATCCCATGTGCTAGGGATGGCTTTTGGCTGCTGGAGATTCAGGTACAGCTGCTGAGCTGAGGACAGAGTTTCAGCATTCGCTCTCAGCTGCTTCACTTTTTGTTCTTTTTTTAATTGTTCTTTTTCTCTCTATTTCATATGGCTGGGCTTTCCTTTTTTGTTTGACACTGATCTTGGGAGGGGAAAGAAAACGCTAGTGAGATTATAATAGTTTGGGGTGTGTTGTGCTCGGAGGGGGGCATAGTCATATGCCAGTTTTGTGCAAGACACCCTCATAATAAGGGACATTATTGCGGATGGCATAGTAATCTGGTAAGGGCCATAGCATTCATCTGACAAGTCCTGTGATTCGTGGACAAATCAATTATTACTGAAATGACCTAAAGGATATGATCGTAACATGATACGAAGAGTTTACATGTGTATAGACTGCGGTGCAGGATTTGCCCTCTTCATTCAAGAGCCCAGTTTTGAAAATACATTTCCTACCATTCTTTACCAGGACTATGAACTCCTCCCCTTATGAATGAAAATACAGGGCAACAGATTACTGTAGGTAATTTTTTTTGCATAATATGTGATAATACCAAGCTCATCTGAAGCAGCAAGTCTTGTTTCAGAGGCGCTGCCTGCCAACAATTACGTTTCAGTTGAGACTCTTGACACCCATACGGAGCAACGTGACAGAGCAGTGGCACCAAGGGTGATGGTTCAATTCAGAAAACATGTTTCACTGTAAGAAATTATTCCAACCTGATGTGTTTATGGTTTTCTAAGTATTATTTGTGCTACTGAAATACTAATCTGGTAATCCAAAGGATAAAATAACCATTTCTTCATAAGCCAACATACATCTGCTTGTTGGGACTCAGGCCAAACCTTCACCTTAGATCATCCACAGCAGCTTTACGTGTGAGCTTTAAAGGCAGCTTAGGGGAACATAGGTGGTAATTTCAGTCATCTGTCTTTAATTGAAAAAGCAGATAAGTACTTAGATAAAAATTAGTTGGAGCAACTCATTTTTAATGTACAGAAGGGAAAGTTTTCCATACCATAAACTTGTTACCTGACAGCAGTGACAGCTGGGGGCAAAGATGGAATTAGGAAAGTTGGGAAGTCGAGAAACAGCTGACACAAGTTTAAAAAGTGAATTGATTTTAAGAGTGTTTGGTTATCCAGGAATTGAAGTGAATGCCAGCCACTTCTTAGCAGCACTATATAAATGAAATGTGAAAACAAGTCTACCAGTTCCTCCACATGTCGCTGTCACTGCGTAACTGTTAGCACCTGCATTAGTCACTCCTTCCACGGGCCATGAAGTTGTTCCAGCTTTTAAAATGTGTGAGAAAATTAAGGCAGGTCCTGGCACATCATAAATGAAAATCTGACCTTCAGGCTGGTACAGTAGTGACATTGTTACTGTTTGCATTCTTGAAAACACATGGCCTGTCATGATGCAATAAAATCATTTTGTGCTTTTATATTATTAAAATTTGGTGTGGTCTTTGGGCTGCCCACGAGAAGCGTGAGACTTGCAGCTGTAAGAAAATAACATTGATTATGGACACACAGTATGTAAGTGTGGGTTTTTTTGGCTTTGTGTTGCTCAATAGCTGTTGGATTGTTTACGAAAGAAACTTGCTAGAGAACATGCTCACGCATCTGCTGTTGGAAAAATCAAACACTGAACCATCTATGATCCAGAAAACCTTAATGACTTCCCTGAAAAATACTCATAAAAACATCATACAAAGTCACGTTTTAATGTCACAGCAGAACAAACCCTCAGCATTTTTGCATAAAAATAAATAGCAGAATAGATTCATCTTCAGTCCATGGATATTTTTCCTGAGCTCTTATGTAAACTGGAAATGCAGTGAATTGCTATGCAGCTCCTTATCTCAAGTGATCATTGCTGTTCTCTAGAAGGAGTGCTTAATGTTTAGTTTCATACAAGGTTTCTCTTATGAATAAAACTGTGTTGAGTCTTACTACCTTCAAACAACTGTCCAGTTTCTGTACACCATTCTTTGAAAACTTACACCAGCCTGCAAAATGAAAACCACAACAGTATGTGAGGTTCTGTTAAAAGTTCAGATGAAATTACTTGTCATTATCAGTTTTAGGAAGCCTGTATATTATTCTTACTAACAATAAGGTAATTTAATTACTCTAATTACTGATTTAATTGCTGTATAAAACTGCCTTGGTTTTTGTGTCCCGTTTAGCCCTATAAGAAAATCTCCTAATGCAGCGTTAGGGAATTAGAATTATCCTGGTATTGAGTGAAAATATGCTGTTGTGTAACCAGAAATGCATGTATTGCCTGAACGTACTTGCTCTCCTAATTGTAGAACTAAAATATTTTCTTCATTTGTAACTTGTCTCACTATGTAGGAAGGACAGCAGACAATACAATAGGATTATTAACCTATTCTTACTTCCTTCTCTCTTTTCTCTCATTTTTCCAAAGCTGTTCATACTTTTGTGCATTCAAACTGTATTTTGAGGTGTCTTTTGGTGTTGCTTTTTCAGTTTTATATCCACGATCACCTTGTATAGTAGTGCTATGGAATTTCAGTATATTCTGGTGACGTTCCTGCGAGGTTGCAAGGTTGTAACTGTTTTCAGTTTTATAGGTAGGGAACAGAGGCAGAGTAGAGTAAGAGCATCTTTCCCATGCTTAACTCTGCCTAGAAATCTAGAGTTAGGTGATACATCACACCTCACCCCCCCGTAGTGACTTCACCTGGATCACACTGAAGTTGGTGGCAGGCAGCATACTGAACTCAGATCTTCAGAATCCTATGTTACTCCTCTGACTACTGGAACCTATTTCCTTTCTGAAATAAACAATTATGCTGAGGTATAGGGATTTGAATACTGCTTCTTCATGTGGATTGGGAAGAAGCATGAACTTCACGATTTTTGTATCACTATTTTAGGTTTTGCTGGTTTTCTTATTCAATAATTGAGAATGTCATCCTTCATCTTGGGTTTCATGGCTTCTGTACTGATTGCTTTTCACAGATACTACACTCTCAGGGGAAATTGGCACCAAGAAAAAGGTGAAAAGACTGTTAAGTTTCCAGAGGTATTTCCATGCATCCCGGTTACTGCGTGGAGTTGTGCCGCAAGCTTCTCTGTACCTGCTGGATGAGGACTACCTTGGGCAAGCAAGGGTAAGATGGGTCCCTAGGTCTCCATTTCTTTCACTAACATTCCAGAGAGTGTCAGTTTTGTTTCAGTGCTTAGGTGAACAGAGGTATGGCTCATGTTTCTTAAATGGCCCACGTTACTTGCTTGCCACACAGCAGACTCTCCGTTCCTCTTGCACAGTTACAGCTTTAAAGGCTTAGTCTCAAAACAGCAAGAAAATACCTAAATCTATTCAGCATTTTCAGATTCTGTCAACTGAAATTATAATCTGGATTTATTAAAGGATGAAGGATCCCTGGCTGAGTTACTGATTTAAGTAAGTGCAGCTTGGACACAGGATTTAATTCATCCGCTTGAAAAAAGGCAGCTGTGTCTCAGCTGGTGTGGAGCAGCTCTTCGGCAACCCACAATAGCTATCCGTAACGGCAAAGGCTAGGAAACGGGGAACATTCACTGCAAAGAACTTCACAATAATCAAAATTCTCTTATTTTGCAGCTCTTATACTTGCTTTGAATGGTATTTTCTAACAAAACCTGCACAACTGTTGACACTGGGATTATGTGCCTAGGCATTTTTTATTCTCTGCGAAGGATGCTTACGTGCGAGGTGTTAGAAAGCAATTAAGAATGCAGAACTGCTTTGTATGTAGACTAAGTGATGTGAACGCACATTTCGTCCGTACATGTGCCATTCTATCTCCTACAGTTAGACCAGACTCCGGTAGCTGTAAAACCACTGTGTGTGGTGGTAACGATGGATTCTTCGGTGTGGCTGAGTGGGCTTCACAGAAGCACTGTATCTAAGTGTGTAAAAGCTATTTCTGTGTATTGGTTTGTTTATCAAAATGTAATTCATATTCACCTTGAGAGCTAAGATTGTGTTTCATTGCAATAAAAATCTAAGAGAAATTGTAATGAATTGCTTTTCAGTCATGAAAGAACAGTGAAGTTGTGCAGTAAAAGGGGTTATTTTAATAAAATTTTGGTTTATTATATTCTATGTTTTGAGCCCCATTTAGAAGGTATTTTTAGTGTTAAGTTCAAAACCTCAGTTAAAAGTGCAAGTGATATTTTATGCAGAATAGCTAAATTTGGTTCCTGATGTCTGATATGTCAAATACGTCTCTATAGCTTTCCCAAACAAAAGCTGCAGCACCCAATCCTGTGATTGATTAATGTGGAATAATAATTTAAATCTGCTTTACAGTTAGACATACCAGACATTTGCCTTTTCATATTTGTTTTTTCTAGCATATGCTGTCCAAAGTGGGAATGTGGGATTTTGACATTTTCTTATTTGACCGCTTGACAAATGGTAAGTAATTTTTTAAAAGTTTTTATTTTACTATAGAATCACAGAATGCTTTGGGTTGGAAGGTACCTTAAGGACCATCCAGTTCCAACCCCCCAGCCATGGGCAGGGACACCTTCCACTAGACCAGGTTGCTCAAAGCCTCATCCAGCCTGGCCTTGAAGACGGCCTATCTATCATATATGATTATTCTAAAAATCCCTAATTAATTAATTGCGAAATGTTTCCAGTTAAGATTACTGAAGAGAAATTGGACACAGTTAACTTCTCTTAAAATCATATCCTTGAACAATTTCAGGCTTTTCCCACCTATAGGATAATGTTTAAAGTGTGGTTTTGTATTAATCTCTCTCTTACACTTGTTATGGTGACCTTTTCAAGGACATGTTTCAGTTTCCTTTACCTGGGAATTTCCAAAGGTATTTTAAACAAACCTATGAGATACATTGGTTGGTAACTCCAGACCTCCATAATCAGTTGATTTCTATCAATATGAAATACCTTTAGTTGAATATACCCTTGCTTCTCTTCAGCAGCAAAAATTAGGAAATTCATGAAGACAGTAAAAATTTGTGAAAAGTTTTGTGCAAATATATGCCTGTATCACCACACACACCGCGATATGTAGGCAACACCTCTTGATGGGGTAACTGCTGAAGAGGATCATGATAACACCTTTATCCTTTCTGTATTGCTCATAGAAATGAGATCCCTCATTCCTCATCCCCAATATAATTAGGTTTGGCTGAGACAGGAGGTTGAGAAAAAAGTTGGTTTAGAGAGTAATTCAGCTGACTGACTGGCAGTGAAGAGTGGAAAGGACTGCAACTGGCAAGGGAAGCAAAAGCATGTCTTCTAAATTACCTTTCTGCGCCCCTGCTCAGTAGTCAAGGCCAAATAAGTTTGCACATCCTCTTTGTATATATATTTATTTCTTTCCTGAGTTAAATTAAATAAGAAAAGACTCCTTCAAGCATGGTTATATGTTGTATGGGTTGGTTGGTTTGGAGGTTGTTCTCTACCTTTTCTGGAAACATTGCTGATGAATTATGCAGTGCAAGCTTTTTAAACCCTGCGTGTATGTGTAGTTGGTCTTACAATATTAGCTAGGCTCAGTTTTGCCCATGTTCCCTGTATTGAAATCACAGTAAGGCCAGCATAATGTTACAGTGGGACTTGACACTATAAATGCTGCAACTCATTTTTTCCTCACTACATCGTCACTGTGAGACACAATAGTATCTGAGCCAGGTACGTGGATTTGATTACATGTTTGTACAGCCATGTGTGAAATAAATAAAAGAATTAATTGCACACTGCTGATTTCTCAGTAATTAAATAATTACTACAGTATGGCAAACTGAAGTGGCAGAAAAGCCACTGTCCCTTCTATCGGTTCCGGAAGTAGACCTGGATGATGAAGATGATCTTGTTCTCAGACAAGCCTCTCAAAAGATTTCCAGTTGAATCCACGTCAGTTTGCCTTCTGTGTCATGTTAAAATAGCACACGTGACTCTGTGGCATGTAGACACAAGAATAGCATTTCACTGGTACAGCCATGCTGTCAAGCCTTGATTGCATATAGCAGTAATTTACATCAGCTATTTCTGAATATATGAGTATCACCTAAGCTCACATGATAGAAGCTGACTAATAGGAAACTACCAAGGTTTTTGGTCTTGCTTGGCTTGTAACTGTGTTAAGGGAATCTAAGAGTTGTTCTTTTCTGCTTTTAGGAAACAGTCTCGTAACACTGCTTTGTCACCTCTTCAATGTGCATGGACTTATTCACCATTTCCAGTTAGATATGGTTACATTACACAGGTTTTTAGGTAAGTACTTACCTCAAAGCCATCTTTAAATGCAGTTTACAGCTTAAGTAGGGCACTAAAAAAGGCACTGTCTTGGTCTGTGTATCTGTAAAATCATGATGTTGTTGCAAATATTTCTCAGTAAAACATTTCAGTGTTATATAGAATGGTTATCGTAGAATCATAGAATCACAGAATGGTTTGGGTTGGAAGGGACCTTAAAGACCATCTAGTTCCAACCCCCCTGCCATGGGCAGGGACACCTTCCACTAGACCAGGTTGCTCAAAGCCTCATCTACTAGCATACTTGGGTACCTCGTAAGTCATCGGGGAGACTTCAGAAGGCTCTGCATTGGGCTGAAGCATCCCTGTCCCACAATTTCACTGGTGATTTTAAAAAAGTATGTCATGCAGAGATGTGGCCAGCTGAGGAGGCCCACACAGACAGAAAGACATTGCAGAACCTACCCGTGCACAATACAGTTGTGGTGCAGCATCATTATTTTAGTGACTAATACACCACTGAGACCCAGGGCCGTTAAAAGCTTATGTGCAAAATTTAACAAATTATATCAAGCTGTCTGCACTGAATAGTGTTGATGAAAGCCCCTGCTGCTGTGACTGCCAACAGAAATATTAGCCCCATGCTGTCAGCGAACCAAAAGAAGAAATTGGCCAAAATCAATTACTATTTTGCATCATGTTTTGAATGCAGCTGAATGCCGGTTTGTTAGGCTGTCAGACGGAGTTTCAAAGGCAGGGTCTCTTCTTTAAGACTGCGTAATTGTCACTTCTGGAAAGCATTCCTGTGGTGTGGAGACAGACAAAATCTCCCTGCCATTTCTGACTCCTATGGGTGGCCACGAGGTGGATGCTGAGATAATTAGAGTTAGCGGTATTTGGGATTTAAAGGTTTACCCGTCGCAACTTCAAATGCTGGTAGAGCTGTAAACAAACTGAAGGCTGGGACTTTCTTTGGCATCCCCCATGCTGGAGATGAGTGCCATGGGAAATTTGCCCACTACCTTTCTGTTTGATTAATTTGATCATGCCTAGGAGAGCGCTTTGGGCAGGATCACATGCAGCTTCCACTGTTCACGTGGTGTTGCCCCGGGAGCACCTAATGGTACAGGCAGTGCTTCAAGGAACCGACGAATGTGGAGCACACACCTCGTTGATTTTCTGTGCAAGTGAAAGCTCAGAGTTAAAAGGCTGGTGCTCCTGATCCAGCTGGACCAGTTCCAGCGCTGCACACTGAAACAAGAGGGACTGGTATTTTAATATGGGCACATTAGATGTGACTAAAATTATCACGAAGATTTTGTTCCAAATACCCCAAAACTGTACCTTTTGAATCTCTTCCTGGAGGACGTAGAAATGCCTTTGACTTTAATTAGTCACTCAAATAACAAATGATGCCAGGATGTCAGGGCCTCACCCCCTGCCGCTGTAAAATAGGTGGTACTGCCTTGGTGACATATTACTCCCCTATGACAGCAGCCTAAATAATTACACTCTGTTGTGGCTAAATTTGCTTCTCTTCCTTATTTATTTTACTCCTGAATGAGAGCCTTCACTAAGGTAAGAAAGAGTTGATTTATGAACTAGACCCAGTATATCCCCTTGGGCCTCACAAATCCTTTCATGCATTTTTTCTGTGAAGGTATCCCAGTGAGAGCACCAGTCTAAGTAAGCTACAGATATTTGAAGGAACTCCTTAGGCAGTTGACTGTAAAACCTCAAATTGTATTTTAAATCCAGTTCCCACTTGTGGCCATGGCATTCAGAGACAAAAGGATCTTTGTTTTCTGTTTTGGTTCCCAGTTATGGTTCAAGAAGATTACCATAGCCAAAACCCGTACCACAATGCTGTCCATGCTGCTGATGTCACACAAGCTATGCACTGCTATCTGAGGGAGCCCAAGGTAATGACAACCTCTCACACCGATGTTGCTTTCAGAGAATTCTCTAATTTTTTTTTTTGCCAGGTTTAAAAAAAAAAAATATATATTTTTAGAAAGCAGAAAGGGATTGCGTACTTGAAGTCAGCAACAAGGCAGTAGCAGAGTTAACACAAATGACAGACGCTTTAAGCAAGCTACTGGAGTAACTTGTCATCATGCAGGTGACACGTTAAAGTCCTGTCGTATGAGTTCCAGCACGTTTTACCGTGACGGTGTGTACCAGCCGTCTGCGAGAGACTGTGGTCCTCCCAGCACAGCCGGTAGAAGGCAGCGCATGCCCATGCCTTAGTCACCTCAGGGCGTAAGGCCCTTGCGTCAGTATTTCAAAATACCAAATTTGGCAACGCCAGAAAAGGGCAAAACATTCCCTTCGACTGGGTCTGCTGCATCAGGCGCTCACAACGTGAGGGCGTGACGTTGCTTCACGTGTTACTGGAAGGCACTGTAATACTGCGGTGCTGAGCGACAGTATAAGCGTATAACTAATCTTTCCTGGCTTGACTTAAATGAAGGGAAATTCTGCAAGAATTAGAAAACTGTTAGCCCAGAATATAGTAATGATAAGTGAGGGCAAGAGCAGGCCCAAACTGTCCTATATTTCCATCACCTGCAAGATCTGCAAGTCCCTGATGTCAGAAAATGCAGAGGACAGCCAGTATCCAAAATCTGGACCATACCGCTCTTGATTTCTCATCACAGGATGCTGCTTTTGGCTCATAGACCTGTACTGGGTATAGACTCTTCGGGCCAGTAATAGCTACCTCAGGCTCAGAAACAAAAAATAGGAAGACTTCAATTTTTTTTTTTCCCAATGCTAACAAAATTGGCTTCTGAATTATAAGCTGTATAGTAGAAAAAAATATCTGAAGATAAAAAGGTAGATGATGTTCTCTAATAAAATACCTATATTTTAACTGAGCTATCTTACAGCCAAGTTTGAGATTTCATAAGTTTATAAACTCTGCATTTTACAGCACAGTGCTGGGCTAGAACAATTAAGCCTGATGTATTGTTGGTATTACTAAATACTGTGTGAGGCAGAGCCCTTATCATGTATGCCAACGTATGGCAACCTGCTAGTATACTTCCTTTTTAAAACTGAATCTGTTAGGCTAAGGTCAAGCACTTCTATAACAACAATCCTTATATTGCCATAGATTATCAAGAGATAAGAAGTACAAACTGTAATAAAATATGGGTATGTGGTCTGATGTCTTTATAGATGTTTGTTCAAAAGTCACCTTAAAAACGTCGTTACCAGATTTATTTTATATTTGACATTTGTGTGCTGTCCTACAAAACTGAACAATGCCATGATGTTAGCAGATTCCTTTATTTGCCGTAAGGAAAAAAGGAAAAAGTGCTTGCTGTTCATGTTCTTGTTGTGATTAACGTGTGTGATTCAGCTTGCCAACTTCCTCACCCCGTCGGACATCATGCTGGGACTGCTAGCTGCAGCCGCTCACGACGTGGATCATCCAGGGGTCAACCAGCCCTTTCTGATCAAAACTAAACACCACCTTGCCAGCCTGTACCAGGTAAAAGCGCTCATCGGATTGTTAATATGCAAAGTGGTGTCAAGGAGGGGCTAAGATTTGCAGTGAACTTGGAAGCCGAAATCTGGCAGCTGGGGGGGTTGTTGATCAAATCAACCTGCACTTTAGAGGCTGGACAGTTTCAGTTAAGCTCCTCACTGGGTGTCTCTTCTTACAGCAAAGCTGATACACATCAGAACGAGAGTGGAAGTCTCAGATTTTGCTGAGAACATTTAAGCCAAATCAGTTGTCTGGGTTATTTCTGCTGTAGATTATCTGGGGTAAGGAACTGTGGGTCGGAGATTTAAAATCACAGGGAGACATGTTCCTTCAGCGAGCAAGCAAGCAAGCCCCAGGCATGTTGTAAATTGGTGTTGTGTTAAAAGAACTTTTGTGTTTAAGTGGCTCTAAAATTAAACACTTCATGAACACTGCAGTTAAAAAAAAAAAAGAAGATAGAGGAAACCAAGGGGAAAGTTGTAGGTATTTACCTAAACATGCCTAGAGATATAAAGAAAGTTAAAACAGCCAACGTAGATCACACCACAGGCTGTCTAGGCGAGTATCCTGTTTCTGAGAGCAGCTAGCAAAAGATCTCAGAGAGAAACATAGGCCTGGGATAAGTACAGAGTTGTCCTTCACCTGGTATGCATCCTCCCAGCTCTGGCAAGCAATAGTAGAAGTCTTCCTGAAACAAAACCACAGACCCTCTTGTTCAGTGTCTATCAATGAACCTATCCTGCCTGGACTTTTGTGGTCCTTTCTGAGTATATTTGTCGTTTTGGCCCATGGCAATCACTGTAGCTCTGGGTTTTATCTACAACTGTCCTATGTGTATAATCTTTGCATGCCATGTACACATGATATATACACACATCTGTACTCTTTACAGATGATTATACTTATTTATTATTAT